GATGTGGTTGCGAAAAGCAATACTCTGATAAAACTAGAGCAATTTGCTTATGTTTTTCTTTCTCCATCTATTCCAAGTCTCTCACCCTTAGTTTGTCCCTTCCCTTGTTCTTCTGTTCTCTCTCCCCCCACTCTCTGGCTTTTGTTAGTCAACCTCTCCCCTACTGTCCCCCCTCTTTGTAGGTCCTAGTTTTTATATCTGTGCCCACAACTTGTCCCCTGCTTCACAGTTCAATGCTACAGCAGCTTTTTATTACAGCATTCAGGGGAGGAGAAAATTGAAAGCCATTTTTCCCCCAGCAGTTGGCCTAACAGTGAAAAACTGAGCAAGGGAAGAGCTGAAGCCTGTAGAAGGCAGCAAAGAACTCCTCCCATCCTTCTACCTACAGGCTACATGGACTAGAACAGTGGTTCTCAACCAGGGGCCGCAAGCAGGTTTCAGATGGTCCGCCAAGCAGGGCCTGTGTTAGACTCACTGGGGCTCAGGGCAGAAAGCTGAAACCCCACCGCATGGGGCTGAAGCCCTAAGCCCTGCCACCCGGAGCAACTTATCTTTGCTGTGCCCACTGTGGCATGGGGCCCTGGGTACTTGCCCTGCTTGCTACCCCTTAATGCCGGCCTTGGCTTTTATATGCAGAAAACCAGTTGTTGTGGCACAGCTGGGCCGTGGAGTTTTTATAGCATGTTGGGGGGGAAAAGCGGGGCTCAGAAAGAAAAAGGTTGAGAACCCATGGTGTAGACTCATGGGAAGAAATGGGGCTGAGGCCATGCCTCTTTCCCCAAGTAGGTGAGCAGGGGAAGAGCTGAGCTTACGGGTTCCCAGTACCGCCAGAAGTACAGCTCAGCTGCTTGGGCGGAAGGCTGCAGTGCTCCAGCAGACACCAACAGAAGTGCTATGTGAGGGCTTTACAGTGCACTCCTGTGGGACTACACTCCCTCCTCAGTCTCCCTGGCAGGATCATTCTACATGCACAGATACAGAATTGCAGGGCCTTTAGAATAGTGCTTAGTGCCACTAGTAATTGTGATACAACATTAACAAATACCACTGAGACCATCCAACTTTACAGTCAGAGTCCAGAAGGCAATGGAGAAATGAATCCAGTGGTGCCAGGTTTAAGTGGCAATTCACATCCAAGGCACTTTCCCACCTGTCTTGTCTGTCTGATTTTGGAAAAATAAAAAGGAACATTCTCCAGATCTTGAACAAAAGCCTGATACTACAACCAGTAAGGCGGAGCACAAAACAGGGTGGAGAGATGGGCACAGGAGGGATCTAGAGAATTTGGCACAACGTAACTAGTGCTTGTAGCTCTCTTGCAATGTGCCTAACTGCTCCAGCTCTCAAAAAAGCTCCAGCCAATTGTATCAGAAACTGCAGCAAACAAGCTTTTCGGAAGCTCGGCATTAAAAGGACCTTTTTATTTTATTTTATTTTATTTATAAAGGGGGAGGTCTTGCCCCTTTAATGTGATATGAACCAATGCAATAGCTTCTTTAACATTTTTATTAATCTGTTACCATAGTGATTCTCCATATCAGCAGCACCGATCTGGACTGCATGGCAGAGATGTTTTCAGAGTGGATGCACATTTTTCCTTCCAAAATATTTTACTTTTAATGAGCTTTTGATGTACAAAATAGCAAAAACTACATTTCTGCTCCTTCAGTCCCAGAAACAGTAAGTCCAACCCTAGCTCATGCTCTGATCTGTAATTTGTAGCTTATGGCAGCACCTTTATAGAAATCAGTACACAAAAAGTGATGTATAGTACCAGAATGCTTTCTCCATGGACTTCATTGCGTCTCTGTGCAGTAAGAATATGCAATTAACTGCACGTTATGCTTCACAGAAAGAACTGAACATTGGTCTGATCATATATGAGACACATTCTTTTGTGAGCAGCTTGAGAAGTAACTGAATTTTATCCAGACAGAGTCTAATCAGCAGCTACAGCTCATTGTTCTGAAAACCATAAGTACAATCTATAAAGGTGTTTCCTGTTTTTCACTAGTAGAGTAAGAAGTTTTGTATCAAGATCAGAATAAAAGAAAAGAAAAAAAAAAAAACCCGTTCTGTGGTCAAGTATGTATAAGAGGAATCCCTGCCATAACAAAATGCTTCAAAAAAGCAACTGCTCCTAAAACAAATGAAATAAACTTATGACAGGAGACAATTATGAAAATAAAGAAGTGGAGAGTTTTAAGGGATGATGGAAGTAACAGCCACAATGTTTAATAAATGAGAGGTGCCTTGTCAGCTTTGATCTCCCTTCATTATTTGTTTGCTCCCTCAAAGAACACTGAAGATTTAAACATTCAGCGGGTTACGATCCTGTAATATAACATGATCATGATTTCCCAGGGTGCTTTTCACAAGAACAGGAATATGTTGATTTATGAGAGAGGAGCACCTCCCAGGTTAGGAAGGAAAAAGACTATTGCCAGGGTGAATAACCCCATGTTTCCGTCATGGTAGGTTCCCCTAGCACTGGATAAAGAAAGTAAAGACAACTCTTGAAACATGCATGTGTGGTCTAGGATTGTTTTAAGGGCGGTCCTGATTAGAAACTGCCTCTCTGTAGCAGCATTAGATCCTCTCTCCCTGTACAATTGCTACAAGGTAGGACAAACTTTCAGAAACACTACAGATTTTTAATATAGACATCTGCACTGTCAGGGTTTGGATTGGAGGGTGGGACCCGCAGTTTCTCTCCTAATGGCACAGAAAGCAAGACCATCCCATGCTAACGAGTAGTAAGAATCCACTGCCAGCTCTTAACTGTAGAAGCAAGCTGTTTACCATAATAAAGCAGATAGGGTAAGGAGCCAACCCCTGTGCTACCCTACCCATAAAGTGCAGCCATGTGATGCCTGCCAACGTCTACTGCATATGTAGATTTTAACACCAAAAGTATACTTCCTTCCTAAAAGATAATCTGACCTCTCCTTTCAGCAACAGGCAGGTGTGAGAAAGTACTCATGGGGAGAATCATCACATTGCGAAGGTCACAGGTTGTGTTCCCTGTAGGCAGGCGTACACTACAATTAACATTCACATTTCAAGAATGGTGCTGTTGAACCAGCAGTTAAGCATGAGAGCACACAGGGCTCAGACATTTCTACCACTGTGGGTATGTGTACAATGGAGCTGGAGGTATAATTTCCAAGTCAGGTAGACATGCCCATGTTTTGATTGAGCCAGTGTACTAAAAATGGCAGTGTAGCCATGGCTGTGGGGGCAGAGAGATGGGTTAGCCACCTTGAGTACACACCTAGGGTTTCAGATGAGATTGCATTTGGCTTGGCAAGCCTGTCCCACTGCCTGTGCAGCCACAGCTACACTATTTTTTTAGCTCAATCAAAGCAATCATGGGTATGTCTACCCGCCTTGGAAATTACACCTCCAGATCCAGTATAGACTTACCCTGTGTCATGAAAGTCTGCTCAAAGCTAAAGCCTATGCCATATTTACCACTGGTACAGCTGTGCTGTTGCTGGCAACTACTGAAATATGGCTGCTAGTATTTCTGGTCTAACTTTGGAGGTATCGGTTATTTCTGTTAAAACAGGCAGCTCTCCCTTCTTTAGGCTAGAAAGGACTTCTTCTTTCTGAGATGGAAGTGCTCTGGACATGCATCTAATTGCTTGTTTATGCCCTGATCCTCCAATTGGTTCCGCATAAGCAGACCCCTATGTTCCCATACAGCCTCAATGGCTCTTCACAGGGGGCTACACATGTGCAGGACTGAGGCCTTCAATGGCAAGTTCCTTGGGGACAGAGTAGGGGTAGGGCTGAGCACACTGCCAATGCTCATCATTAACAAGAATAACAAAGGGGAAAGTTTCAGATAGCTAATATATGTATGATTAGTGACAATACATGTTAGTCTAGCATTTTTCCTGTAAGAAAGGCAGAGAGTTTTCTGGACATCTATGAAAGGAAGCTGCCCCAAACCAGACCTATAGTAGTTACATGGCTTGAAAGCTGTTTATACTGGACACTAACTTATCCCACGATTGAGTCAGGGAGTTCCTGTGAGTTTTCCAGCCAACCAACACCCATTTTCCCTATAATCATAAAATAAAAATATTCCAGCTTCCGCCTTGCAGAGTAGAATTATTTTCTTTTCTTCCCTTGAAACTATGTAGCTGCCAGCAGCTGATTCTCTGATTGGGGAAACTGGGACTGGGACAGGGACAGGAGCAAGGAGGGGAACATAAGGAAGATTTTACAAGACAGGCAGAGCAGATTATGAAAGAAATTTAAGAATATTAAAGAAAATAGGTCTCTACTTTTCTGAGCCTCCAAGGCCCAAAATAACCAATCTATGGAACATGCAATAGGCTAATATCTAAAAAAAAATATATATATTCAGGTATGTGGCTCTCATCCTTGCATTCCCCCGATAAAACAAAAATCAAAGATCCTTTAGCTGTTGGCAAACATGCAGATAGATTAAAGAGGTGAGGATCAACTCAGGAGGGAAGGAATGTGTCTGATGTCAAATTTTTGACATAATTTTTAATCTGGGTTTGGGATAATACACAGAATCATGTATGTACCCATTTTATTTCCATTGATAGTATATTTCTCAAGGGGATAACAACTTTACCTTAGCTGATGATCACCAGTAGGAACAGTAAGCTGACAGGGCAAAACAATTATCATACACACACAATGCTTTACATATGAAATACATAGAAAATACTGCCTAGTTTTGTTTGTGGGGGAGAGAAACCAGAATTGTCACCCATTTACTCACATGTACATCAATACAAATAGGCATTTTGCCTCCCAAATGTTAAGTTACATAATGATAAATGCATGTAACACTCTGAAAAGGAAATGTTAGCACATCTGAAAACTGGCCAGAATTTCCACAGCTGTCTTCCTTAAAAGTTTAGATAGCTTCATACAGCCCTTCCATAAAGTCAGAGCGGTAGAGATTGCTGATTCTAATATTAACAATTGTAGAACAGTAGGTATAAAAGAGTTACCTGTAAACCGCAGCAGCCCACTGCATTCATAATGGAAGCATTATGAATAACCCTGTATGGAATCCCAAGCTTTACTGCACGCAGAACAAGATCACTGTGTGTTGTGGCCCTGTGGTAAGGAAGGAATGGGTTAGATTGACAAAATACACTGACTGAGCATAACCATCAACATAGCTTGTTTGGAAAGTAAAATTAAAATGCTTCATGAGTAAAGCTATGCAGCATGCCAAGAGGGCAGTGGTAGTAAGGACTTTACTCTGACTTTACCATAACAATAAGTAGCAAAAAAAGGGCTAAAAAGCACAGGGACCCACATGAATTTCACAGCTCCCAATTGCTTTCTCAAAGTTAAAACTGCAACAGTAGCATGTTTATTACTTTTTAAAGTAACTTTTGGTAGCAACTTAAAGAGGACAGTTCTATTTGTCCTTTGTCTTTTGCAGGTATCTGCTGGATGTCTGTTGAATAGCAAATGTCAGCTAAGCTTAGCACAGAGAACTTGGGCGTAACTCCAGTATTCCTACAATTAATGTGCAACCAGGCCATCTCACATTTGCACTGAGAGCCTGTGAAAACACGTTCGAAAAAAAGCACTAGACAGTACACAGAACATGTTTTAAAGATTTACACATATTGTATACACATGTATACAGTAGCTATATATTAACCTTGGGAAAGCCAAGCTTGGCTTTTAAAACTATTCTCTTTTATATATTTATGTACTGAAATCCACAAGACTCAGGGAAAATGCATTAGGATATATAAACAACATGCAAATTCATTCCAGAAGTAAGTAGGAGCGATCCCCTTTGAAACTTACCACAAGCTGAATTTGGCTTGACATACCCATCAGTCAACATGCACCCTGCATCTTCACACTTGGACAAAACTCTCAGTCAGGTTAATGGAGCTTTGCCCAGAGGAAGAACTGCAGGCTTGAGTTCCAAGTATGATCAGCATCAGAAGCACAAATAGATCCAAGTTAGTCTTATTTTTGAATTGCAACAATTTAAAATAAATTAATTTTTATTTCAAATGGTACATGTGCATGTTAAGATGTTTAAGAAGTACTGTACTCTCCACATTACATGTGAAATGTGGCAATGCATTTAAATAAGAAAGCTGTCAAATCTGAACAATTGCTTCAGCTGTCTCCTTTTCAACAAAGATACCTCAGTCAATGCTGCCCATTCCATAGAGGGAAACAGGGAAAGTAGTAGTATCTGGCTGAGCTGAGTAATTACATAGGAGAGTTGTTTTAGCCCTGACATCCTCTGTCGTTCAAGCTGAATTCTCATGGAGTTCCCTCAATCCCTGGCCTGACCATTTCCCAACCTTAGTGCACTTTTGTTATGCAACTACTTGGCCAGCTCAAGTGCATAGATCCTGACATAGAAATGTGGCAGCAGCTGATGGGGGTGGGAGGAAGTGTCAGTTTTTTTTAAAATATGATAAAGGCTCATTCATCTACAGCAGATTAACTAGTGGAGTCAGAATTATGGGAAATCAGGAAGTATTGCTAGAAATAGACTGCAACACCTAGGAGAACAGCAGTAAGGTAATCTAGACTTAGAATAGCTCCCTCATTAACTGCAAAACTCTCTCCTATGCCCCCCCACCTTTCCATGAGCAAAGGAGACCCAAGCACATCTGCTGAGGGAGAGCAGGAGGCTGGTTCTTCAGCCTTGTCCCGTCTCTCCAGATCCATGGCATAAGGGCTCTGGAGACTTTGTGGGTTTGCTAATAGAGAATCAGGGGAACAGCTGTCTTTATTTACTGAAATCTGCTCCCACTAGGCCCCTCTACAAGGGCTGCAGCACAGCTGCAGGCAGTGTGCTCACATATGGGGACTCAGCCAATTGCAGCAGGGGGCCTGAGGGAGTCAGCCCTCTGTGCCCTTGTCTACACTACCACTTTCCACACTACTGGTCTAGCACCAGTAGCATCTTCACAGGCAATTATGGAAGCAGTTGCATAAACTGGATGCAGGTGGGCATTTATTTCAGTCACCACATTGTCTGACATGGTGCTAAAAGTTGCCTGGTTTACATTAACACATTCTACCAATATTGCAGACACAACTGCGAATGGACCAGTGGTGGGGGAAAAGAACTGAAAAATTCCAGTGTAGCTGCCCCTTGTGTGGTGCCTTTGTATCAGCAGGATGGGACATCCCTTACCTGTGGGGCTGAAAGGCCATCCACCTCCTTTCTGCACTAGCTAAACCTCTCCTTGAGAACAGATTACTTGAAAACTCTGAGGTCAACTTTTGGAGTGTCCTGGCTCCTCTGTCATCCTCACACTGGGTTTTCCACAGGATAGGACAATCCTGCCCTTTGTTACTAGGAGCAACCAGTCAGTCACCTCATAGACCCCAGGGAGCAGGCGTGCTTGGAGTAATTAGGAAAAAAAAAGACATCTGAAATGGGGTGCATTAAACTTCAGAACACCGTTCTTCAGTAAGTTGCCTTCAAGAGTCCAAACAGTGATTGACTGAAATACACACCATGGACTCTTTTAGCTTGCTTATATAAATGGTTAATGTCTGTCATAGGCTTTACAAATTTTATATCTACTGCTAAAAATTAATCCATACTTCCCTCAGATTCAGAATCAAAAATTGACATATTAATAGACTGAAAGAGTTAGCGTGAGAGCCTTAGTTTCACTTCTTGTTTGCAATGTTTCCCCCACCTCCAACTGATTTGGCCACAGTTTAGATGACCACCCCAGAGGGAAAGTTTCTATAAGGAACACGAACAAATTTTTGAACTTGGGTGCCTAAGTTAAACCATTAAATCCATTATGAGGCACTTAAGTAGCCCATTTTTCAGAGATGCTGATAACTGGCAGCTCCTATTGATAGTAGCAGTTCTGGGTGCTCAATCTCTCTGAACAGCAAGCCACTTTTGGGTGGGGAAGGGGAGCGCTTAGCTTTAGATATCCAACTTTGAAAATTGTGGCCATATAATACACTGTACAACGTTCTAGAATGGTCTAGAACATCAACATCACCAATTAACTTCAAAGCTGCCTGGAGTTAGATTTTAGGGTTCTGGTTCTCCAAGATGATTCTTGCAGGGGGACCCTTACATCCTCCCTTATGGAGACCCATTGAAGTCAGTGGGGCACCACACAGGCATTAGAATCTGCCCACACGGATCTGACATCAGAATAATTGGGGCCTAAAAGCCTACACATTTAGACAACATAAATAAAAGGTTTAGAAAATTCTTTATATCTTTTCAAGACAGAGTACTATGTTATAATAAAAGCATATGTTTCTAGTCATTAAAAACATTGGTATACACATTTGCAGAAGCAGGCTCGGTGACCCCCACGCAAACTCCAACTACTTTTTGATGGACACAGTAGTTATATGGCCTGTATGCCTAAACTTATTTCTGGATCAAAGCAAGAGGGTATAGGTACTGCACCTTAACTTAAACCTGGATTCTAATGCCAATGCACACTGCAAGTATAATTACTTTAATATTTCTAAATAGCCAGCATCACCTGCAGCTACACAGTTTAATAAAAAGATTGTCTCAATGTTTCCCCAGCATCTGTATGTACATAAGTTATTCCTCTCCTTTATAACCTCCTGCCCCTCCCCCAAATGCACCCATTCACCAAACTGTGCTCAGTGATTTCATTTTCCTTGTGCCCCTTGAAGCTGTGATACAAGTATTAGATCACCAGCTGGAGACAAAGAGCTCTTCTGTATGGCTTGACATTACAGATTGATGATGCTTGATTGCATAGGCAGAAGGACATCCTTCTGGAGACAGAAAAAGGCTATAGCTTCCAGCAGGAATAAGAAACTGAAATAGGAAGCTTAATAAACCAAACTGACAAGACATTTATAATGGCCCAGCCATCCTTAAAGACTAGAATAGATAATACCATAAGCGTGTGCAACCAACAACCAGCATTCAATTAAAAAGCAACTGAAAATACAAAGCATGGTTTATAAATACAAAGCATGATTAATACATAATCAAGAAATGCACCATACTTTGTAACAAGCCTAGCACTTCTGCTAAGCTGATAAAATCTAAAACAATTTTTTTTTATGAAGGGCAGCTTGGATAACGGCAATTAATTTTACAGTTGTCGCTTGACTTTCGAAGGGAAGATTTATATATCTATGTGAGTGCCAGTGGGTCTGAGTTCCTATCTGATAAGGATGTTTTGCAAGCTGTTTGGGTGTGAGAACTGCAAAACAAGACTGAGAATAAAGTGTGAGCCATTTATTTACATTTGTATCAAATTCAAATGTAGCCAGTTCTGCAAGAACATGAATGGGGGACACTCCTATTATTATGAAAATGGAATGTTTCTTTTTTCCAGCAAGAAAATTATGGTAACATGAGAGAGCTCCCATTTGTTAAGGGCTAGAAGTAGCCAAATGACAAAGCCAGAGGAATAATTAAAATGTTGCCTTTTCTTACCCAAATGGATCACCAACTACAAGAAAAGCAACATCACAGAGATCAGCATCTTTTAAAATATTATCTGCTTCTTGTTCCACTGTTTCTCTGTCAGCCAGAATCAATTCTCTCCCATAGAACTCCTCCTAGAGATTGAAGAAAAACATCAAAATGAGACAGCCGGTGATAACTTCCATTTGTCTTAGTCTGTCTTCTTCCAACCAGATATAGATTAGACATTGGCTAAAAATGTGCTATGACCTAGTTTTTTTATATCATGTTGTAATTAACCAGTCTTGAAACCATTCTTTATTAGTATCCCCAGAGAAATGAGACTCCAACAGCTGATGCTTGGTTTCTTTGCACTTCAGATTCACCCTCCAATTCTGTTTCTGCATGCTGAATACTTTCCATGCATGTTGATAACACATTTAGCCTCTAATTCTTCAAATACTTACCTTTAAACAGATGAGCAATCCCACTGAAGTCAATGGGACTACACATGTTCTTTAAATTAAGCATATGTGTAAGCATTTACAGGATCAGGGTCTCACATATGAACCATGAGACTTGGTTCGGTTCTAGAATGCTTAGTGACTATTCTGCACATCTGTACATCCTTATAACTCAAGTTTCATCAAGCTATGTAAGTACTATTGTTACATTAGATAGCAAACTTCTTCAGGGCAGGCAAACTTCTTCTGTTCTGTAAGCCACCTGGCACATTTTTGGGAGCTCTAGAAATCATAGTTGTTTAGCCAACTGAGGTCAGGAAGGTCTGTCTTTACAGAAAATGTGACATCAATTCCAACTCTGCTCTCCACCTACAAAGGATAGTGTATAAACAAGAGAACCAGCATAACAGTGATCACAGCATAAAGGAGTAGCAAAGGCTTCCCTGAGAAAGGATGGTCCTGTGGTTAGGGCAGTAGCCTGGGATCTGGTAGTCCTAGGTTTAATATCCTGCTCTGCCGCAGACCTACTAGGTGACCTTGGGCAAGTCACTTAGAGCTAGACCCACAAAGGTACTTAGGCACCCAAGACCAATATTTAGGTACCACTGATATTCACAAAATTAATGCTCACCTGGTGCGTAAAGTCCCCTGTGCAGAGCCACTTACATCTTTATGCTGCCACACAGCTAATTAGCAGCTCGGAACCCTAGCTCATGCCCAAACCCCAGCAGGAAACTCATATTTAGCATTCCCCTCCTATCTTTTCAGTGGGGCCTGACAGCACACCTACAAGATCAGAGCCTCGAATGAAGACTGGGTATTTTTCAGATGAGTGTGTGTGTGTGTGTCTCCCAGAATAGTCAATAGCTCAGTTATAAGGGCACTCACTTGGGATGGGACAGAACCAGGATGTGGGATGTTTTCAAATCCCTGCTCTGCCTGATTTGGAGCAGGAGCTTGAAACCAGGTCTCCCACATCCCAGGAGAGCGCCCTAACAATTGGGCTGTTGGCTAAAAGATTTAAATACAGTAACTCCTCACTTAAAAGTCATCCCGGTTAACATTGTTTCGTTGCTGATCAATTAGAGAACATGTTCATTTAAAGTTGCACAATGCTTCCTTATAATGTTGTTTGGCAGCTGCCTGCTTTGTCCACTGCTTGCAGAAAGAGCAGCCCGTTGGAGCTAGCTGATGGGGGCTTGGAACCAGGGTGGGCCGGCAGCCTATCAGCTCTCCTAAGTTTCCTGTGAAGCAGCCACCCAGCAGGCTATCAGTTACCGGCAGTTCAGCTGTCCATCCCCCCACTGTTGTGTGCTGCTCCTGCCCTCTGCCTTGGAGCTGCTCCTGGGAGCCTCCTGCTTGCTGTGCAAGGGGGGGTAAGGGGTGCTAATGTCAGGGTGTCCCCCCTGACCCCTGCTCCTTTACCCCATCTCCACAGAGCAGGGGGGAGGGGGAGCCAGGGGGACACCACAGGGCTCAGGACGGAGGGAGCTTGCTGGCAGCACCTGCTGTCTCAACTTGCTGATCTATTGAAAAAAGCAGTGCACTTGGAGTGGGGTCAGCATAATTAAAGGGGCAATGCACATCTCTCTCTCTCTCTCTCACACACACACACACACACACACACACACACACACACACGGTGTGTGTCTTTGTCTCTTTCTGCCATGCTGTCTCCCCTCCCTCCATTCGGGCTGCCTTGTAAAGTGTGAGGCTACATTAACAACAATGTGTTAACCCTTGAGGGCTCAGCCAAGTGCTAGTTCATCATTTAGCAGTAAGGCATTCCCTGGGAAATACCCCACCCTCTAGCTTCACCACCTCAACCAAGCTTCACAATCATCATAGCTGTGTACAGTATTAAACTGTTTGTTTAAAACTTATACACACACACACACACAGTATATCTATGTTTATATAGATATAAATACAGTCTTTTGTCTGGAAAAAAATTTTTTCCTGGAACCTAAACCCCCCCCCCTCCATTTACATTAATTCTTATGGGGAAATTGGATTTGCTTAATATTGTTTCGCTTAAAGTAGCATTTTTCAGGAACATAACTACAACATTAAGCGAGGAGTTACTGTAGTTCTTTCAACAAATTGAAGGCCAACCTAAATAGTCAATATGCAATAGCTTTAACATATGTTATTTTAAGCTGGGTTGATGATAAAGGTTAATCCACACATCACGCTGTTTGGAATTTCAGTAACTGGACTGAGGAACTAAACACAGATATTATTTAACATTTGTTTAGTGGTAGTGCTTAAAAGTCAACAAGACAGGGGTCCCACTGTGCTAAGTATTGTAGAGTGATACATAGCAGCTCCTTCTCTTACGTTAGTAATAATACTTAGCATTATTTTAATGCTTATATCAAACCCTCAAATTTCCCTGGGATGTAGGCAAGTAAATCATACTCCCATTTTCCAGGCAGGGAAATAGACAGAAAGGTGAATAGTCTGTTACAACCAGGATTAAAATGCAGAACACAGCTTCCATCTGCATTATTCCTCCAGACCACACTCCCTTATAGTGATGGCTGGTCCTAAACATTGTAATAGAACTACAGTAAGCTGTCGTGTTTTTGGACCAATACTAAAGTACTTACGTCGAGCGCGGTGGCATGCGCCTGTAATCCCAGCTACTTGGGAGACTGATGGACCGATCGATCAAAGTGTCAAAGTGAATAAAGTACCATATGCCAGGTCACAACACCCAGAGCAGGGAGCTGGGTCCAGCCCTGCAGGACAGGTGCAGAGTGAGTGTGTGGGGGGAAGGCTCACTCTCCAACACCCCCACCCAGAGCCCCAGTTTCAAGATGGGGGGAGGTTGGAAGCCTCAGTTTCAGATTTTACCCCAGATCCCCACATCCTGTGAGGCCCTGCATGTCAAGAATATGGGATGGTTTTAGCAATCCATTGGAGGCCAGAGTCCTCATCTCTAGACAGTTTTCTGATTCCCTCTATTGTTGCTCATATGTGATTGCCCTCCAAACTATTAAGCAGCCAGCTTCCAGGTGTCATCTACTTCTATCTTGGACAGTAATATCCTAAGGGTCATCCTTTTTCATTTTAAGAACTGGCCATTTATTCCTGTTTTTTGTTTCCCATCCCCTAACCAGTTTCAAAGCCTCAAGAAGGCCTCTCACCCTAGGAATATTAAACATTCCTAACAATAACGTATCAGAGGCTTCATGAAAAGCTTTTTGAAAGACTAATAACAGCTATATTCTTTTGTTCAATGTTTTGTATTTAACATGTAGAGCTGCTTGGGAATTTTCTTTTCGATGGAAAATGTAGTTTCTGCAAAATCAAGATTTTCCATAGGAAAATTTCAATTTTGCCAAGGTTTTCTATTTGGAAAAATCTAAAATATTTTGTTTCTGGGATAGAGTAAACCTGAATCAACAAACTGGAACATTTCATTTCAGGCAGTTTAATGTTGAATTGATATCTGTGTTAAGTACACTGGTGCCTCACAGGAGCTGTAGTTCAGGTATTTTACACCATCATTTGCTCCTACAGACTGGGCTCTAGACTACATCTCCCATGATGCACTGACAACACCACAGGCAGATATAGTTTAACATTCAACAGACCAAAACTAAGGTCTTGTGCACACAATGCATTAGTCCACATCAAAGGGGTACAAATTTTAGTGTGCACTAGCATTTTGTGTACTAACTGGCCTGTGTGGACCCTGCTTATGGGCACTAAAAGTTTTTTTTTGGTACATGTTAATGTAGTCCCGTTTCTAACAGCACTACATATTGTGTACTAGGGCAGTGGTTTTCAAACTGTGGGTCGCGACCCAGTACTGGGTCACGGAATGGAAGGCACTGGGTCGCAGCAGCTCTGGTCCACACCACCGACCAGGCCATTAAAAGTCACATCGGCCATGCTGCCTGGCTAAGGCAGGCTAGTTCCTACCTGTTCTGACACCGCGCTGTGCCCCAGAAGCAGCCAGCAGCAGTTCCATCTCCTAGGTGGGGGGGCCACGGGGCTCCATGCGCTGTCCCTGCCCCAAGTACCAGCTCTGTACTCCCATTGGCCGGGAACCAGCCAATGGGAGCTGGGGAGGGGAGGGGAGGGGGAGTCGGTGCCTGTGGGCGACAGCTGCGCAGAGCCGCTTGCGTGCCTCCGTCTAGGAGCCGGACCTGCTGCTGACCACTTCTGGGGCGCAGAGCCATCTGCCTTAGCATCCCCTCTGTGCTGCTGACCGGGAGCCACCTGAGGTAAGCCCGTGCCCCAATCCCCTGCCCTGAGCCCCTTCAAACCGAGAGCCCTTTCCTGCACCCCAAACCCCTCATTCCCAGCCCCACCTGAGCCTGCACCCCCAGCCCAGAGCCCTGACCCTCTCCCACACTCCAACCCCCTGCCCCAGCCCTGAGCCCCTTCCCACACCCTGAACCACTCATTCCTGGCCCCACCTTGCAGCCCTCACCCCCACAGCCAAACCTCTGCCCCAGCCCTAAGCCCCTCCCACACCCCAAGCCCCTCATCCCAGCTCCGCTGGGTCACAGGCATCAACAATTTCCTTCAACTGGGTCACCAGAAAAAAAGTTTGAAAACCACTGCACTAGGGAGCTTTTAGTGTGCACCAGCAGGGTCCACACAGGCCAATTATTGTGTGACACACCACTGTGCACTCGAATTTACACTTCTCTGGTACTGACTAAAGCACCACCGTAAAAGTTCCCGTTAAACAATGAAACGTTTAAGCATTTCTAAACTGATATGTTTCTAACTTTCTATTCCATGAAAAATTTTGCAATTTGGACTTTGTCCCAATTTGGGATGAAAACAAATGTTGAAATATTGGAATTTCCTGTGGATTAACAAGCTAGAGAGACAAATTACTCATATAACGTGCATGTTCTGGTCATATTTACACTCACAAAGATGCTTTACTGTTCTTTCTTCTGATGAGTTGCATTATTATTTTTCCTGGTAATGTTACTGATCCACAATTCCCTGCATCCCCCTTACTCTGTTATTTCCAAAAAGATATTAAACACTTTCAGTTCAGTGGCACATAAACCTACCAGTGCTTCCTTCCCTACAGTTAGGACCGATGTGTAGGCCTCCAGGTATACTCTGCGGCAGTGCTTTACAACCTCCAGTCCTTTCACGGTAATATCTTTGGCATCTCCCAGCCCTAGTCCAATCAGATAAAGCATTTTAATCCCAGGAGTGAAACAGAAGCCAGTTCCTGAGTCTGACCTACCACAAGAAGGAAACAGGTATCAGAGGGATGGATACCCGGGTGCCTCCGCAGGGGAACACCAGGG